TGTGCAGGTGCACCACTAACTTCATTAGGTGAAGATGATGCAGAACTCTCTGCCTGATGACCATTCGCTTCACTTTGAGTGCTTGAAGTATCTGAGGAGTCTGTATTACTCTGGGAATCAGCATCAGGGGCATGAGTAACTGGACGAGAAAAACGAGCACGAGCAGCACTACTACTGCCATTACCAACATGAAGAACAGCTTCAGGCACACCAGTATATTCAGAACGATTTGCAGCGGCAGCCTGTGTACCATTAGGAGCAACAGGAGCAGGTAAAGTAAAAGCAGGTTTAATATCAACGTGATCTTGCAGATCACCTTCTTTAGGAACAGCATTGTGGTCTGATTGAAGAGGTGCACCATTAGAATGGGTAACGTTGTGGACGGTAGGGTCTAAAGCTTTTTCTTTGGGCACACTTATACCGTTGTCTTTTCCAAGAGTAACAGAGTTAGCCCCAACGGTTCCAGGAACACCAGGAACACCAGGAACACAGGGAACTTTATTAGCACCAGGGACTCCACCAATAACAACGCCACTTTTATTAGAAGTGGCAGGGCAAACAGATAAAGGTTTACTTGAATCCGGGGTTTCCTCATTCTTGAAACCAGAGACACCAACATTTTTTGTAGTAGGGACAGATGGACCTGGAACAAGTGAGATTCCCAAAAGGTTCGCAAGAGTAACATTAGCCTTTTCATGCACACCAACTCCAGGATGGTGTTGGTGATTATTCTCCGGACTTTCACCACCGGGTTTACCAGGCTTATAACCCTGATTAACAGCAGAAACACCGGGGGGAGCACCAGTACCAGGCGGGAGAGAGCCGGGAACCTTTACTCCAGGAGCAGCAGTACTATGGCGAACAGCGGGGATAGCACCAGGAACACCAGGAATAGCTCCAGCAGCCCCAACTGGAGGAACACCAGTAACTGGACCAGAACTGGGATGAACACCATGCACACGACCAATACCATGCCCAGCAGCCTTAATCTCAGTGGAGGGTTGATCAGCCGACACACACCCATAGGCGCAGTACAACATAAGAACCAGTAAACACAGCATGCGGCGCATCGATTCCCTCTTAGTCAAAATAGTGATAGTGGATTTCGCTTAAAAGCAATGAAGTAAAAAATAGAAAAACAATATGAGAGATAAAAAAAAGTAATCCAAACACAGTAAAAGAAACACATATAAAAAACTAAACCAGTTAGAGAAAACAAAACACCAAAGTAAACTCAGTCAAGCACAAAAGGACAGATCAACAAAATACTGCAGGGCAAAACACACTCAACGCCCCAGCAAACCACAAGCAAATAGATATTAACCATTAGCCCAACTTACCCAATAAACACAG